GCTCAAAAGTGAGAGAGTAGCTTATTTTCGGAGTAGCTTATTTTCAGGAATATACAGTAAGCAAAGGAAAAAATTAAAAACTAATAAATGCCTTTTCTTCAAAACTAATACTCATCTGGTTACGTTGCGAAAACCAAATGGATAGCCAAATCTCCAATTAAGTATGTATATAATGATAAGCTAATATAAAACAATAGAGAAAAGAACGTGTTAATAAGAAAAAAATTATTTAATACATATCGTTGGCTTGAATAGTTTCGAAGTGACCAAATTATCATGTATAACATGTGATCAATTTGAAAATAAATCGAAGCCATATTTTGGATCAGACTATATTTATTTTATAATGTAAATTATTAATATAATATTTATTAATTTAAAAGCTAAAGTAGTGATCAATAAATGATGTAATAAGGTTGAGTCAATTTTGTATTTGTAAGCAAGAAAAAAAATTAAGAACTAATAAATGCTTTTTTTTTCAAAATTAATACTTACCTGATTATTTTATGAAGACTAAATGGATGGCCAAATCTCTAATTAAGTATGTAAATAATAAGTTAATATTGATATGATGCGAATAGCACATGAATTTAAATATACATATATGAGTATCTGCTAATAATAGTTCGATTTTTTTTTATTTAAAGTTGTTTATTTCACATAAGCTACCTTTAATGGCTTTTCAAAATTTATTCAATAACTTCATATGATTTATCTTCAATGGCTTCGCATTATTCATCTGAAGCTAAAAAAGAAACTAAAAATAAAACACATTCAAAAAATCCTGGAAGAAGACTACTAGATCCTGTTTGAGAGCATTTTGCTACAACTCCATTAAAATCATCTGGCCATTTTTCTGCAGTATGTAAATATTGCAATACTCGATTTAGCCATGGTCGTCCAAATGAACTTGAGGTGCATCTTGCAAAAGAATGTGAAGGTGAAAGCATTGATAATGAAATAAGAAGCAAATATCTTAAAATTGCAGTTCAGAGACAACTATCAAAAGAAAAAAAAACTAGTTCAAAAAATCAATCAAAAAAACAGAAAATAAGTATTAATGATTATTGGGAAAACAAAAATTAATTTTTGGCAAGTTCTAAAAAAAAAGCAATTGATCGTACAATTATTAAAGTCTTTGCTATGTGTGGACTTCTGTTTTCCATAATTGAGAATCCATAATTTATCAACATACTTAAATCTTTACAATCTTCGTATATACCACCTACTCGTGAATATCTTTCTAATACATTATTAAATGAAGAAGTGATTAAAATTAATTGGGAGACTGAAAAATACTTACAAACTGCTGATAACTTGACACTTGGTAATTAGCTTTAATATACTTATACAATACTTTAACTTATACTATTGTATTAAATTTATATTATTCTATTTAGGATTAGATGGTTGGACAAATCCTCAAGGTGCTTCGATTTATAATTTTTTAATAATGACCCTGATCATAAGGAATTTTTATATACCCTTTGTGATTTGTCTAATGTTAGTCATATAGCGGATTTACTCTTTAATGAGATTGAAAAAATTTTAATTAAGATTGGGCCCAAAAAATTCATTGGAGTAAATGCCTCGACTATTGCTGCTACACATAGGCAGATTAATCAAAAATGTTCTTCTATTATCAATCTTCGTTGTATTGTTCACTTTGTTAATTTTATTAGTCACGATATTTTAAAATATAAATTACCAGCATGTATTTTAAAATATTGCAATAAGATATGCCACTTTTTTAAAACTAGTCATTTAGCTGGAAGTTATTTAAAATAATATATAGATG